TTGACATGCATTATCATAAATAAGTTACATGTTTTCAGTTTTCCAAAATTGTTAAGACCAAGTAAAATCCTTTAATGGGTTTTTTTTTTTTTTTTTTGAAACCATTCCATGAGGGTTCAATATAAACTCCAGTAACACATTCTTTAAAAAGGTAGAAATACCGAAAAGAAATGTTGAAGTTCGCATGTTAAGGAAAAATAAAACTCCACCTTGGATGAGGGTTTATACTTGTGCCACCTATAGTCATCTCTTCATATTCCTACATCACCAGTCGTGTGGACAACTTTGTCTTTCTACCAGCTTTCTATGGAGATCCAGAGTAGTTTGAGCCAATTTTCTTCAACCTAGAAACAAACAAAAGTACATAATATCATCCTCCGAATTCATTGTATTAGAAAAGGGCAATCTTTCCCCATTATAATCCTCTGAATCATCACAATCATCATCATCGGTTCGTGTTTGCCTCCATCGATGCTTCATATTCATCCATATATATGAAGCAAACGAATTGTGAGAGCACCCTAGACAAAGAGAGCTATGATCTCAGATAGAGAAACTCTGTTAATCTCAAATTAAGGATCTAAATCAAAAATGAATTAAGCATTTATTTGATGTAATTCCTTTCTCAGAATAGATAAACATCAATTACTCATTTATTCCCCAAATCAAACAATGCTTAAATTTACCTTGAATATGAGGATCTCATGGACAGAACTCTCCGTCAATCAACTCTTTATCCAGCACCATAAAAGTTTGCCCTGCCGAAATTCAACTAAGAAAGAAAAGTTCCAATTTTCAAGAACACCTTAGTTATGAAAACCCATAAAATGTATCAAAAAGTCCTTTAAAAAAGAGAAAAACTACCCAAAAAAGAACAGAACCAATACAAAAATCCTAAATCACATAGAATCTTTTGAATGACTCCACTCCACATAGAATCTCATATTGTACTAAACAACAATGACCACCATCGAGCCTTTCCTTGTACTAAAAGATATATATTAAGAGTTCAGGCCAACACCTTCTCACCTTAAATTTAAGCGACCAGAAACAAATTAATTAAAAAAATAAATCAGCAGAAGATACACAAAGGCAATGGAACCATATGTTAAATTTGCCCCAAATATGAAGATGGACTTACAGTATCCAAGTCAACTGGGACTTGGCCATATCCATTTCTCCCTCATTGTTTGGTTTGCTCCGGATTCTTCACCTACTGTGAGGTTCCCTCCTGATTCTGCTTTGTATTGCTGATGTCCAAAGGCTGCTTACTCATGGATTTCTTCTTTTTCTTCTTCTGCTTCCCTTTCCCTTTCATTTTCAGCATTAGCATAGCGCTAGGGTAGGCTAACGACTGGTGGGAGAGAGAAAAGTACAATAGAGAATTGTATCAGAATATCATAATTAATGAGTGCATCAGTGCATGGCTTGCACTTTGCATCGTGCGATTTCAAAATTAATTTGTTCCAAAAAACAAATCTACAAAATCAAACTTTTAGAAACGGTTTCAAACCTTCAAACCTTCGCCGGAACTTTTAAACCATATCTGTTTATGATGCATAACAAAAGGGGTGGAGATCAGATCAGAGAGGAGAGCAAAACCAAGGAGAGCCTTTGACATATTCAATTTGGAACTGGGCGGTCATCAACATGCTCATCAAATCTGGAACTGGGCGGACGAACTTTGGGATCTCACCAAATTTAAAATCGGTCAGATCTGAAAAATAACACCAAATAAATTTGGCGTTGGAACTCGGAATTGAAACAGGCACGACGACTGAGGTTTAGACTGAAGAAGATGAAAATAAATTTTCAAAAAAAAATGAAAGATTGCGGAATTCGGGGATTCTATTCTCCCCGTGATTATTTTTGTAATTAAAAGGGATGTAATGTAATTAAATGCACACGATAATCTGTTCTCACTGGATTTGAAATTGTAATTTGAGATTGAATGAAAAGTGTTGTCAAGTTTGAAGTTGCTGATTTGAAGGGATTTTTTTTCCTGAATTTGGGGACGCGTTAATATGATTTAAGGGGATTATTTTTTCATTCATTTATCGTAATTTTTGGACTCCTTAATCCATCCTTTTTTCTACAAATCTAGAGTATCACATGTCGATTTTCATTTTATACTGAAAAAGGACTTTGGAGGAAAAATTTTCAACATAGAATTGATATGTGTCCTTGTATATTGCTTTGATTAATTACGATAGATTAGTAATAAAATTTACTTTCAAAACGGAATGCTTTCTTTTCAACTTTCAAAACTGAATCCCAACAATATTTAAACAACATCGACAATAATCATTGCAGAAGCTCACCAATGGTTCACAAACCTATGAACGAAGGGAAAATATGATAGATTTAAGGATGAGATCAAACTTCTTGAATATTTGATAGATTTGGCGCAAGTTTGGACTGCTTTTGCACCTTTTCTTACCCATCATTTCTTCAAACTTACTTGGCGTAAACGCACAATTTTACTGTGATAATTGGCCTTTGAAACTTTCACAAATTTTTTCCTTGCATTTACTCATTATACATCTTCTTCTCTAAAGAAAAGTAAAACAAGAACAACTGCACTTCCTTTGTAGTCGCATGTCTTTGTAATTAATCTTCTACACCATCCAAGTTTCCCAAATAGTAATATTTATGGTCAACGTACACTCCGATTTATCCAATCCATGTCAGTGCAAAAGCCACACTATATTGTGGTGAATATTTATGAATTAATAATCAATCTTTAAGAACTGTATCAAAAAATTCAACTAACGCTGCACATGCATATCATCATAGCAATAAAGTCTCGTAGCGAACGTCCATATCACAAAGCAGGTTAATCTCTAATCTTAAGAGTCCCAAAAATCATTACAACAATACAACAGAAACTTTTACTAATTCTCAGCAAATTTATAACGGTACAAGTATAACGATAATTTAGCCAGTCTAATGTAAACAGAAGATCACCCTACTAAAACATCATGTCTAATCTTCAAAGGAAAAAAACATGTAAAACGTGACGAGCAATAATAAAACAAACAATTGCGGCATGATGTTTAGGACATACAGAGTTATAATTGAAGGTAGCCAAGTAAGGCTCACGCTCAACAAGAGCATCCCTAATTAAGTAAACAAACAACCTTCCGAAGAGGTTAAAAAAACAAATCAAACAAAGATTAAACTAAATTGACCCGTTTTATTATAACCCGAAAAATAACCCGGAAAAGATCCGCAAGCTTTTGAAATCCATACGGACTCGGGCACTCAAATCTTACCTCCGAGCTTTGACATGAAATCTTGGATTGGAAAGGTGTTTGGATTTTGGACCAAATCCAAATCCGTGAATTTTTTTTTGTGCTATCAAATGCTGGATTTTGTTAAGTCCAAATCCAACCCCTCAAATCCATATAACCAAATGGACTCTTTAATATGATTTACATTAAAAATGAAAACTAAATTTAGTCAATTATTTTTGAGACGGAAAAAAAGTTATACTAAAATCCATTCATCTAAATTTGATTAAATATGCCATCCTCTCAAACCAACAGATTAGGTGCTTGTTTAGACGTTAACTTACATTTCATTTTGCCACTTAAAAGTGGAAAGTGTTTCAAATTGAAAACTAAATGGGAAATAAAAATGTTGTTTGGATGTTGATTTTGAAAAAAAGTATTTTGAACTACATTTTGAAATATCAAGTACAAGTCATCACTAAACAATTAAATACTGTCAATTATAATCACTGCAAAAAAGAACTTGTTAAAAAACAATCAATCAACAACGGAATCGTGCCAAATTTGTCACTGAACTATTTGTAGTTCTAAAATGGTCATTACATTGACAAAAGGTGTTTCAAGTTGGAATTTAAAAAGTAAATCAGAAAATTGTTTGGATGATGTTTTCTTTTCCATTGGATTTTGTGTTTAAGAGATAAAATGAATGAAAATGTAAAATAAACACATGTTTAAACAAGGCCAGATTTCGACAAATCCACGTTTTCCCGAGTCAAAATATACGCTTGCCGTTCACATGGGTTCTTAGAATTTTTCGTTCGCCACTTTGACAAAATTGAATACTGGAACTTCATGGAGGTTTAGCCTTAAGATCTCATAAATTGCATTTTTTAGCAAAAATGTTTGAATTTTTCATGAAAATATACCAACAGCGTCTGTTAATGTCCTTAAATGGAGATTATCGACTTGGAGCTAAAAAGGTAATTCTTTTCAAAGCTTCGACACCAAAATATAGGTAGACACCAAATTTTGATATTTGTCACTTCCGATCATACAATCGGGTTTAATTTACCAATTAATTAATTTGTTAAATAGATTGGTTACTGCTAATCGTTCACTAGTAATTAATCATCAGTACGAATGACGAATCTGTGAGGGGGTACTAAATTTAGTCAAAACTCGAAATTGTTACATTTTACTATTCTGACCATAAAAATGCATATCGTGTTCATTGTAATCTTTTAGTTTAATGAATATGATTATTCTTTTGGACATATTCAGTACATTTACTCAACAAAATGTTAAACAAATAAATGAAACATATATGCTCCAAGACAGGCAGAGGGTATAGAAGCAATTACTTTTTAGTTGAAAAACGATACTAGTTTTATTTAGAAAAAAAAGTGCGGTAAAATCCAAATAAAGCTACGCCCAAAGATTCCCGCTTCCCGTGCGAAATCCGAAAATTCAAAAAATTTCGCGTATGAAAGGGGCTGTCGACGTGTTACTCTACGATTGGCTACTTTTGACTCATACGGATTATGATCTTCTACTCATCCTTTCTTCACATTTTCACCGTTGATCATTTTTCTAATCCAACGTACCAAAATTCGCCCCCAATTCCGAACCCACCGCCAAAACCCCCTTTCATCTGCCAATCCCAATCTTTATATAAACCCATTTCTGCGTTTCATTCACACAGTTCACAATTCATCAAATTCAAATTCAGTTCTCCTCTTTTCATTGTATTGCGATCCCGTTGAATCAATGGCACGTACGAAGCAAACAGCTAGGAAGTCCACCGGAGGAAAGGCACCAAGGAAGCAGTTGGCCACCAAGGCCGCCAGGAAATCGGCTCCGGCGACCGGAGGAGTGAAGAAGCCGCACAGGTTCCGTCCCGGAACGGTTGCTCTGAGAGAAATCAGAAAGTACCAGAAGAGCACTGAGCTTTTGATCCGTAAGTTGCCTTTCCAAAGGCTGGTGAGGGAGATTGCCCAGGATTTCAAGACGGATCTGAGGTTCCAGAGCTCCGCCGTGGCGGCGCTGCAGGAGGCCGCCGAGGCTTACCTTGTTGGACTGTTCGAGGATACCAATTTGTGCGCTATTCATGCCAAGAGGGTTACCATCATGCCCAAGGATATCCAGCTTGCTAGGAGGATTAGGGGCGAGAGGGCTTAAGAACTATGTTTACCAATTTCCTTGTTCCAGACGGATTAGGGTATTTTATCCTTTACATGTTTCTGATTGTAGGTTCTAGGGTTTGCTGTTTTTTCTTTCTGGGATGTTAAGGGTTTTGGTGATGGGATTAATCATGTAAATGTCAAGCAATTTACGGTGGGTTCTGTAAAATGGAAAGATTAAGAAGGTGATGTATTAGTAATGAGTTGCAGAGGAAGTTGAATTGTGAAGGAAATGCTTTCTTTCAAGTTTCTTTCTGATGTTATTGATGAGTATTTGGAGTCAAGATTTCATTTTAATTGGTATTTTATGCATTGAATTGGCAAAGGTGATTTAGTTCTTAAGCTTTGATATGTACCATCTAACACCAAAATTTCTCAGCTTGTTTTCTAAACTCTGATGCCCTCAAAATACTCAAAACAGCAAAGCCATAAACCTTAATTCTAAGATATTTCTGCACAGCTTTTACAGAACACAGGCTTTAATATCACCATTCAGTCCTTAACATTTCAATTCCTGGATCTGGTAGCAAACCATTGCAGCAACCTGGGTACAAGCCTCTCTTCAAGCAAGTGAGCTGAGCAGTCTGGGTAAACAATTTGGACGTTCTCCTGAGCCTCTGCCATAGCCAAATTGATTAGACAATCCTTTACACAGATGAAATAGCCTCTGCATTTGCAAGTAGCTCGAGCCATGTATTCAGGAAGTTTCATAAAACCACAAACGGCGCATCCAACTCCAATCTTATGTGGCCGGGTGATCAGCCGCTTCTTCGAGCCTTTTTGCAAGCACACATTGGACCTTGTGGTACCTGTGAAGATCAAGTTAATTGACAGTTATAGATACCAATAATCTCATCACTTTGCATTTCAGGGTATCATGATGAAAAAAAACTAGAGTACCTTCCAAAGCGGAAGAAGTTTAAGCTTCAGAACGCTTCCGTTTTCGAATTCTCATCTCCCTTTCCAGATACAAATTTTCAACTAGCACTAAGACAAACAATAACAGAGGGATTAATATTAGGAAAAAGGATAAACTAAAATGTTGAGCGAAGGCAGAAATCTACCGTTTCCAATATTTGCCTCTGTTCCTTGTTCTACATTGTCGATCTCTCCATCGTGATGGACCTCTCCATGTTCCTCATCTAAAGCTTGTAACCCGGCTGGATTTTCAGGGACAGCTTCTTCAAGATCTTCATCCTCGGCTGTTTCGAACAGAAATTGAAAATAGAAACACATTCTAGGTTTGATTTGTTCCACAAAATATCAGAGATGAACCATTTTAGTGAAACTATTACCTTGATAAGACGAAGTTCCCGCGTCCAGGAAGCTATATTTTTCCGGTGGATTACCTTCATCGTCGCCTGGAAGGTGTAAAACCCAACAAATCACGTTCCGGATCCAATCAGGGGGAACAATTTTCACAGCCTGCTTCATTTCTTTCTTCAAAAATTCATGGCCGCCTCCAAAACTTGAGCAGGACTTATCCACTTCTGTGATCCAAATTCAACTTTTAACGTTCTAATTCAACACAACCTATGATCAAACCAAATGTTGTAGATTTCAGCGAAAAATTATGTACTATATATATTTTTCGTACCTAGCAATATTGAAAGGAGTAATCGTTTAATTTGAAGTTTGTGTTCGGCATTATTGTACTTTAGATCATCTGCAAATCAGAAAACGAAGGCCAAAATGTAAAAATCAGTGAGCAGAACTTCGCATACAAAAAAATCCTTTTAGATTCTAACATATACCAAAATCCACTGATTGTAAAAAATCCTTTTACAAATTTGCAGTAAGAACTACCGGAACTTCATCCATTATAGTACGAACAATAAAATTCAATTACCATCAAGATGCTTCTCAAGCATATCATCATCAGGACCATTATGACGAATTCCTTTTCCTTGATCACCACGATCATCATCTTCACGATCAAGATACCCTGTTTCTTTCGGTTCTTTATCAGCATTCCCCTGAGAAGCATTCTCTGAGGATTTCGAGGCATCACCTCCATCTTTGACTGGACGGGCTTCTTGCTCTGCTGCTGGGATTGCCGTAGATGATCCTTCAACTGCTCAGGCTGGTTCTTGATTTACTTCCGGCGGTTCATTTACTGCGTTTTCTTGATTTTCCTCGAGCCCATCTTCTTCTCCTTCCATTTCCTGCACCGCATTATCATCATCGCCATCAACATTATCATGAACCCCTTCTTCTGGGACAATCAATCCATTACCGCTTGCAACATTATCCTCAAGCCCTTCTTCTGGGACATTCAATCCATCAACGCCGTCAACATGAACCCATTCTTCCGGGATATTCAATTCAACTATGTTACCTGGACTCGGATACGGGTATCGTATCGGGTGCGGGGATTTGAGTGTACGACTAGTAAATATTTTAGAAATTTTGGACATCTTAGGCTAAAATGCCACACCCGACACTCATACCCACACGAGTGTCTAACACGACACGACACAGGTATTCTGCCCAAATAGAAGAGTCCGGGTAACATAGCAATTCAATACCACGGCCAGCATTGTCATCTGGGATAATCTCTTCACAATGAGGAACATAGATATCAGCTCCATGCAATCTCCTTGCTGTTCTTCTTCTTCTGTACTTCTTCTCCATCCTCTTCTTTCTGTTCTTCTTGGCCATCTTCCGCGTGATTCTTTTCCCCATTTTCTCGAAACAGCAGCAAAATACAATGGATTCTTTGGAGGGGTTTCTTTCGTTTTAAATCCCTAATTCGCGAAGAAGATGAATTACAGAGAAAACAGAGTGAAGAGAGTAAATAATATGAAGTGTATATTTTATGCTGAAATCTGCGTATTGAGTCAACATCTATTCGTTTTCTTTCGACTTTCCCTAACAACAAACTGCTCATATAAACGGTTAAGAATTCTGTGAAATTACACAGTATGTCTCTTCACTTTATTAAATTCCGAATCGACCCCTTTTCAATCATCATATCTGACATTTTGCGTTTTCGGTTTTGTTACGTTTTCTTTTTCTTTTCCACAACTGTGAGTGCAAAAGTAATTTTCGGCTATATATTTATATTTTTTTATGAGACTCTTTATTTTCAACTTTTGTAAAACCTTGGTTACAACATGATGTTATTGTATTTCTTACCAATTTACTGTAATAAACTAGAAATTCAAGGTATTCGCCTCCTTTACTGGACCAAATAAAAAAATCATTTAACTTATTAAAATAGATTTTTTTTAAAAAAATTTGTAGTCTCTCTTGAAATAATTGTACAATTTATATTTATATTTTTAATTAAAATTATACTAAAAGTGAAAAGTAAACCTAAATAATCATTTTAGGACGAAACAAATACTGGAGGACGGTTAAGCGCCCTAATTTAATACCACAAGATAATTTTGCCCCTACTAAATTTTATAAATTCTTAGTTTTAATTTTATTCTTTCAATTCCTAAATCAATCTTTCATTTCAAATTCTCTCATTCCTAAAGTCAAAAAACTCAGATTCAATGGCGGAACGAATGAAACGTTTTAAATCTGAGGTTTTTCTTTTTTTTTTTTTATAAAAAGAAGACACTGCCCCGGCCAGCGATGGAGAACCTCGCCGGGGCAAGAAGAGCCGGTGCGATCCAGGCGACGGTTTTCTCACCGGCTGGGGCAAGGGTGGCGAAGATATACCTCTGGCGGTGTGGCGAGAAATGCGCCTGGCAAGATTATCCGGTGTCGGTCTGTGCCAGCGCCGGGTATGTTTATTTTTTTTAAATAATTTTTTTGTAATTTATTTATTTTAATTTAATTGTTATTTATTTCATAGAGTAAATATTAGTAATTTTAATTTAATTGTTATTATTAGTAATTATAAATCTTACGAATTTGTTTTTATTAGTTTAATTTATTTAGAAAACATTTTCATTAATATGTTTAATCTTAAATAAATAATTTATTAATAATATTCATATTTAGGAATTCATTAGCAGTTTTAGGGAGCTTTAATTTTTTTAAATTAATTTGGGTAATTATGAAAGTTATTATAATTAATTTAATTATTGAAAATTTGTTTGTAGGATTATTCAGTTTAATTGTAATTAGCCTCAAAAAGTATGTGATACGTAGAAATTAAATATTTAGTATATGAAAATTAAATACATAAGGATTATTTAAATACAAAAAAAGAGTTAGATTATATTTTGGTTAAAATTTAATAATAAAATATGTAGATAATTTAATTAATTGAAGTATATTTCGAATTATTATTAATTGTATTTAGTAGATTTAATAAATTAAACATTTAAGATTGTATGATAGATAATTTTATATAATTAGGTATTTAAATAATATAACAACGTATTAAAGTAATTAACCTAAATTAATAATTTATTATTTAGGTTTTGTTAAGTATGTATAAAAACTAATTTTTTTGGGATGTAATCAGGATTATTTAAAGTTACGTGTAAAATTTAAGACTTTTGTAGAATGGGATATCGCCTCTTGAGAGATCTGGTAATCGCCATGCAGTTAGGCGCAATCTATATGCTGAACATCGTATAGAAAAAGAGAAGAACTTAAAGAAACAGAAAAATGTACATCTTACCTTTGCCCCACCTGGTAAGTCGGTGAACGTAGATGATGATGATGAGTTTGAGGGAGAGGAAGAACAAGATGAAGATAGTTTTGAGAGTGGGGGGACGATGTGGATGAGGAGGATGAGTCAGACGAGTATTCCTCGCCTGAGAGGGGGATATACATTTTGGAGGTAACTCAGTACTGAATCCCATTGGTCGTACTGATGATCAGACTCCAGTTCACCTTACCCGGGGGTGGGAGGGGGGAAGGGGCGGAGGAGGGGGGAAGACCCTTGTTGGATTATCGGGTTGAAATCAGCTTACACTCTTGGTAGTTCCAGTGTTCGTGCCGGCTCACAGAGTAGTCTTTTTAGAGGTCTTAGTACTACTCTTCATGATACCGGCCCGCGGGGCATTTTGTTTGGAGGTCCTAGTAGTACTCTTCACGATGTGGGCCCCCAGCATCGTTTTGGTGGGACTTCGTCACACCACCCTCAGACCAGTCAGCCTCTTTCCCGTTTTAGTGCCGCCTCCATTGGTGCCTCTAGCCGTCCTGCTGCAGCTGCAACGTCATCAGGTATGTATTTGTAATTAGATATTTAAGCATTCATTACTGCAATATCAATTTCTTTATTACATTAAAGTTAAGTATTAACCAACTATTCTTTATTTGGTTTCAGGTACTAGCAAACGGTCTAAGGTTTCTAACGAAAAAATTGATGATTGGGTTGTGACGGACGACGTACCTGACTGGCCATGTGATGGATAAGTGATTCCTAGTTTTCTTGGCCACACTGCATATCAGTTGTGGAATGGAGAACCAAGAGATTACCTGACGATGAAGCCAGCGAAGAAGAGTTTGTCTAGATTGCATGGATGGTATTCGAAGTTACCGGAGAACGCACAGTTGAAGATTCAGAATACCGGTTTGTATCATCTGATTGATACCATGTATGATGACATTGACCTTGTGCTTATTTCTGCATTCATTGAGAGGTGGCAGTCCGACACAAATTCTTTTCACTTGCCATTTGGGGAAATGACCATCATGATGCATGACGTGGCACACATTTTGGCGATTCCAATTGAGGGTTACTTGTTGGCCGAACCTCCGGAAGAGGAAATGTTGAAGATGCAGGTTGCAGGATTCCTTGGGTTGCCGGTGGCTGACTTAAAGCGTGCATGGAGCCACGGAGGTGTGAGCGACATATTGATCGAGGAGAGTTGTTGCAAGCTCCTCACCACTGTTCAGGTTCAAGCTTTGATGTGGATCTTATTAGCCTCGACACTCTTCCTCGACAGGAGTGGGGGCAGGATTAGTGCTTTGCTTATGAATGAGCTCCATGGAGGTGTCGAAAATATTGAAGCTTACTCCTAGGGATCCGGTACACTAGCATTCCTTTACCGTCAGCTTGGGATTGCTAGTCGAGCAGGATTGTACCATGATGGTTGTATGACCCTTCTCCAGGCATGGATATATGAGTATTTTCCATGCTTCCAGCCTTCGAAGAGGCGGAGACGTCGAGGTGTTGATGGTTGACCCAGAGCCCGAGACTGGACACCAGTTAGCTATAAGGATCGGAAGCCTATTTAGAGATGACTCTAGCAGATTCTTGCGCAACTCGATGCGATAACTGAGCAAGAGGTAGTGGTTATATTTTATTTCCTTGTATTGTGTAAGGAGTATTTTATTACAATATATATAAATTTTGGTAATATTCAAGGTCGAATGGGAGCCATTCAGTCGCGAAAAGGCGGCCGCACATCCGAGGACCATCTTCAGTGGGTGGATTATGTAACACGACTTCCAGGAGCCATACATGCCGGAGAGAGTGCTACACCAGCTCGGTTACGTGCAGTATATACCTCGTGCGCCGCTTATACCGGTCATTCAGTTTCGCGGGAAAAATACGCACAAGTATTTTGTTGATCGTGCGAGTGCCGAGAGTAGTAACTGTTGTGTTAGATTTTTGGAATCGGAATGCATCAGCCTCAGTCATTGTATACAGGCAGCTGTAAAGTACCTCAACTGGTACAGGAGCAATTCACATCCATTCATACTGCCAACGTCGGTCCCGTCTACGTCATGCATACCAGCTAAGAACTGCACCACTTACATAAGTTCAAAACTCAATGGAATTTTATTTAATAACACACGTAATCTAAAAGCGTTTAATATGTTTTTTTTTATATTTGTAGTGGATGCTTGAAATAGAGAGGTTGAGTCGAGGTTGCATCGAAGATTTGAAGAAACTTGATCTGGATCTTGGTCTACAGTGGGATACTCGCCTGGATGATGTCATCTTCCGTCACAGTCAAGCCCCTTGACATTCGACTCCTTTGGTTAGAATTTGGTTATTGGAAACTCATTGGTTCTTGTTTTTTTTAATCAATTGCACATATTGCGCTGATTTGGAATATGTTACGATTTCGTTGTTGTAAACATTTTGGACTTATTTTGATTTTCAATTTCATTTCATTTAAAAACGAATGAAAAAATATGGAAAGAACATATAAACTATTTCATATTTGCATAAACAAATGTAAAATAACATATCACCCGAAATCAACAAATGACCGTCTGGGTCTTCTCGTGGGATCCAGTTGGACCAAAGTACACCATAATTGTATTCTGGGTTCAAGAGGTACTTCCCAACCAATAACACTACTATCACGGTCGTGATGCCAAATGGGGTGAATAGGTGGAATTGGAAAATCACCCTGCAGATTGAGTCAAATGAAGTGCTGGTAGGACTCAAGGTGGCAAATAACTATCTGGAACTCTGGTCTTGTTGCCCCGCCCCGTGCGATGAGTGGCAGCACAGTCCAACATGTGCCATTTAGATTTTCAGTGCCGTTTGTCCTGAAGTAGTACACAACAGCATTGAAATATGTAGCAATGGTATAAAAATCATCTGTCGACATCCAATGACCTTCGCTTATACCAGTCCACCGTATACGTTCTAGGCTTCCAAGTAATTTATCTCATCTACAAAGACGAGTAAAGGAAAATTTTAAATAAAATCACATTGATACAAGTGTATTAAATAGGACCTCAAAATAAAACTTGTCATATCCGTAATGGTTCCCGTAAAGCCCAGGATTATTTATAACCTCATCGAACACTATCTGTCTGCACAAAACATGATTATTCTGCCCTCCCAACATGCAACTCGCAATGACGTGAAAACCACAATTACCGTCTAGCTGGACATCAAGATATGATTGAACATGGTTGTGGAGTATCTGCGGACTCTTATTCTTATGCCTAAACTTGGAAAAATCTGTCTGCATCACATCTGTGACCAAGTAAATTAATTTCATTATCTCTGGATTAAATATAAAAATGTAATAAAATAATGAAATTTTGCACTTTTAAAAATATAAATATAATTCGTACCTCCGACATGATCTTCAGATCCCAGCGTATGGCCTCTACTAGAACTGCTGTTGTTCGTCCCACCTAGCCCAGTCTATGTCCCTGTGCTCGCACGCCATGAAACAAAAATATAAGAATCAAATGATAATAATATATCGCACATTAAAAAAAATAAATTAAGAAGCATTTGGTATGCCGAGCCATTCTTTTAACAACTTGTTTGCGCTCTCCACTCTACAAGTAGTGGTGTTGCTGCCAAGATGAAAATAAGTGTTGGTCCATGCCTGCACAACCTTGTCCGCCACCACTAACCATGTCTTCCTGACATACTCTAGAACGGGTTGAAATTGGGACCAATTATGCTCTAGAAGCTTCACTTTTTCTTCGTAATCTTCCCGATTTGCAGCTTCGATCACTGTTTTAAAGGTCTTGTACGTGAAACTTTTTGTTATGTTCGCATTTCCGTTCAAAATTCTTTTGACATTTTTCTCAACATCCCTGTAAACGTGCCACGTACACAACAAGCAATGTGATGATGGAAATACATCATCAAGAGGCCTCATCAGTCCAGGCTCCCAATCACTTACGGTGACACTCGGATGCAGATCATCGCCGTAAAAGTTACGGAGCTGCCACAACGCCCAATGGTAGCTGTCCCTCGTCTCATCACTCAGAAGAGCATATGCTATAAGGAAGGTCTGATTGCACAGGGCCATTCCAACAAACTCCACAAGAGGCATTTTATATTTGTTTGTGTTGTATGTGGAGTCTACACAAACAACCCAAGGATACGTGCGCAACAGCAACAAAGAATCCGGATGAGCAAAAAACACGTGGGATAATATCTGTGTCTCTTCATCGCACTCTGTGAAGATGATGTATTTGTGTTGTTCTGCAAGCTCTAACACCTTTCCCACGACGTCCATGGAAGCCATGCCATCCAAAATTGGAAACCCCTCCTTACGCTATTGATTTCTGTAGTTGTAGACTTGTTTGGAGGTAATATTTTCATCAGGAAATTGTGTCCATATCGCCCGTAAAATGTGGACTGCCTTAGTCCCAACTTTAGAGTACTTTTGTATAAGCTCTTTCACTTCTGCGCTCAGTGCCCTCCTAACCCGAGGTGAATCTTTCAATGAATGATTGTACATTCCCCATGGACCGGGATATACACGGATCGCTCACCTATCATACATTTTGTAGATAGTAACCCGAAACTGGTATCCGGTCATCTGTGTCTTTGTATTGGATCGGGCTCGCATGTTTTCATCCACCTGTTGACCTTGGTACCGACCTCCTTTATGACAAAGGAGTATAGTATTATTATCCTTGTGCGAGGATACACTTAACTCCATGTTGTACATATTTGCAATACCCTTCGCATATGCAATAGCTTCAGACTTCGTGCCAAAAGTCTCGTCTGTAGTAAAAACCGAACTATAATCATGTTCATCCCCCTAATCAAACCTATCCTACACACATTAAAAATGAATTATATTATAACTTAAATTAACTATAATAATATTAAATCACAAATAATTCATTATAAACAAAAACATAATATATAATCCGATATAATGATGTTATACTTTAAAGATAATTAATTAACATAATATATACTAATAACAAGCTAAATACATTATTAACAAAAAATCACCATTTTAATATAACAACTATAACTTATGAACATAGTACCTAATTAACTAATTCTTTCTAAATAACAACAAACTAAACACCCATTTAACATGAAAAAAACTATTTCATACGAACATACTACGTAATTAACATAATTTAAACATATAACAAACTAAACACATAATTAATGAAAAATTAACCCATTTAACATAACAAATATAACTTATGAACAAAATACGTAATTAAAAAATATTCTCTAAATATTTAAGTTAAACATTATTTATTTACCAATACCATAAACCCTAAATATTAAGATAGATTATCCACCTAACTACCAATTAACATAAATTTTCTAAACAAATATTAAACTACCAAACAAATACTCAAATTAAACAAATTAATTAATTAAATAACTACATGAATTAAATAAATTTATTAAACTAATAATTTAAATAAATAAATGATATTAATTAAATACATTAAAAAATTAAATAAATAATTAAATTAAAAAAATAGGTGGCGCCCATCATCGGTTGGTTGGCGAGCAACCGGACAAGGGTGGCGCCCAAAATCGCCAAAGGCGAAGGTTTTCTCGCCTCCCTGTAGGGAGGCGAGATTATTTCACGCCACCGCTATGCGGGGTGGCGTGTTCCTCCTGCGCCAGGTGTGAATGGCAGGTGCATATGTCTCTTGCCTCCCCCCTCTTTTTGAAAAAAAAAACATACCTCTATTGTGTAGAGGACATATCCATCTTTCGGAAGGCGATCAAATGAGAAATTAAAGTAAAGGTGTTCAACAGCACCACCCAAAAAATAAAATTCATTCATATCGATATGTTCAAACTTGTCACCAATGTCAACATTAGTTGTATAATAATCATACTAATTGGTTTTAGACCGGGAGTTATGTAGCTCATCATCATTTAAAGAATTCAAAACCTTCGTTTTGGACCTATGCTTAAACAATCACTCATGCCTTTCGTATCAGAATAAGAGTCCCATAGAAAATGAGACTTTTTTTTTTTTTTTTTTAATTTCTTTTTGGACCTAGGGAGCATTATCGAAAAATAACCAATGTGTAGTGGTACTAGTCTTTCTTTGGTTAGGTCCTTATGAATATAATATGTTCAACTTCATTTCCTCATCAAACGGGATCTTATTTTTCATTTGGAAATTTTACTGATTTCTTGGATGATAATGGCAATTGGGTCAACAATCATCACTTGGAATGATGCTTAAATAGTTGCCGGTAGATGCATTGGTGCTTTGTGTTTCGAAAATTTTGCTGCTTAAACGGTTTATCTTTGGAAAGAAATTTTTGTTACTGCTTGTCCAGGAAAGAGTAGTCAATACTGTTTGTTTGTCACTGCTTGTTTCTTCAGAGCGTTTTCCATGCTCAGTAATTCAATGGTAATACAGTGTTATTAGTAGAGTACTCACTCAATCTCGCAAAAGATGGTCAACAATTTATTTATTTAGATCAAAATACTATAAACATACAGTACAGAAAAAAAAAAAAAAATTTGAACTATAGATGACTCAAAGTCAGTTCTCTGAAACGTTTTTAGTTTAAAGTATCAGGGGAACTCAGAGCAGGCTATCTGTTCGAGCTGGCAATCTCTTGAAGAAATTGCTTGGAATAGATGGCAACTTGCTGCGAAATCTTGGATGCCGAAGCATGTATAATCCGGCAGCTAAGATGATCACTCTGAATGGAGTTACATAAAGCACCAATGCAGCACAAAGACAGAAGGTAATAAACAGGCTAGTTGCTCTGGGGTCTCTCCACACTAGAAGAGACTGAAATCTCTCCCCTTGAGCTGCTATGTCTCCCACCACTGTCTGAATTCTACCTGCCACGCTTCTTAGACGGTCATACCTCATGCGAACGACTTCATGTGATCGCGAGGTAGGAAATGTGTCAAACTCCTCATCAAGTTCATCAGGGTGAACCGCATCAGCCCATGAAAGCCTAGTATCCATGTGAGGCGGATGCCTTGGTCGGAACCTATAGTTCCAAAGTCCGATAAAAAACATGTAGAGAAACGCTGTTGGAAGTATCAGCTCTGGATACCAGACCAATATCAGGAACAAGATATGGACTAGTACTGAGGTGACAGGATTCTTCCAGTTGCAGACATCGCCAAGCCAACGGTTCATGGACATGATACCTGATAGCAATGACATGACTCTGAAAAAATTGGCTTTGCTTCTTCTCATACTCCACATGTGTGAATCCACATCAAGCATGTATTCCACCACTTCTTTTCTGAGTGGTGGTTCAGCTCGGCCTAACCTCGCTGCAACAATGCTCATGGCCTGATATCTCAGATTGTCTAGTTGGTTTACTGTAAAAGGATGCAGATAATGCATTTTGGGTAACAAGGGGTGTTGGTAAAGGTATATCATATTAGCTAGAGAAAGGCTGGTGAATCTAATGGCCAGTTGGAGTTCTCCCATTTTCTTTACTCCTGATGGATGTAGAACCAGAAGGGGGTAGGAATTTGTGTAAACACGATGAGATTCCAGGGTTGACAGTCGAATGCGTACCTTTCCAATCCGCGAGTCTCTGGCTGTGCCGGCGCCAGCTCTCTCACTTGTCAAGTGGCAGTTGTCGAAAACTCCCATGGTTATGACAGTGCATGGATCGTAAACCTCCCAGGTGTATTGCTCATTCCATTTGGGACTTAATGTGTCGAGAATGGTTCTGGTACGGACCCATTTCTGTCCATATTTGGCCACACAGTATGCATCTGTGCATCCTCGGCCATCTTTTGTCTTCATCGGGTGAAGTCCTTGAGCACCTAGGATACCTAATTCCAAAATACCCACTGGTTGCTTCCAAAGTTGTTTTGCTGTAGGCCTTTGATCACTTATGTACATTGTTGATTCATCCAGCACATGATATCCTCCTTCAAGACACACCCTTAGGTGTATTCTACTAGAGAACTTAAGCTCTTTTCTTCTGTCAGCTTCCAGGGCCCCGAATCCATATTTCTCAAGATTGAACCATCGAGAATGAACCGGCCTGTGATCAAGCCTCTTCTCAAACAGGGTCAGGGGAAGACTTATTCTTCCCAGTACATCGTCTTTCGAGGGATGCACATGGTCCTCAACAGTAAGGACTAAATGCTCCTCAAAAGGTTCCGCGGCTACAAATACCAAATCCTCATTCCACATAGGATTTGCTGTTTTAGTTGGGCATATTGTAGTCCTGAGTGTTTGACTTCCCAACTGGACTTTGACAGAAACATCTGGGAGACGGGTTCTGTCGTTGGGAATTATGTCCTGAGCTTCAATGACATTGACTCTTAAATACCAAAGTTTTGGAGAGACATATACCTTGGACCTGATGTTGAAAACTCCTTCGCCATAAACAAAAGCAGCATCTGAGTGCCATGCCTCAGAAAATGCTTCATCAGCCTGTGTACCCATCCAGACTGCAAGCATGATTTCACCCCTTAACTTTCCTTCGCCGCGCCTGTCTTCCAGTCTGTACCATTGAGGTGCTAAGGGACTATCAGGGGGAACCCTTGTTACAACCTCATTCAGATCAAAGACTACCCTGCCCACGTAATCATCTCGTCCCAACATCTCTTTATCTCTTACAAAAACTTCAAGCATTGATGACTGAATACGTTCTTTAGAGAAAGCAAATACCTGGTTCCATTCAGGATTCACTTTCTTTTCCAGGTGCTTTGTCCTTCCCTTGTAATTACCGAGCTTCACTTCCACGTACGGATCACAGGTGGCAGTAATGGAGTTTGGTGGAAGATCTCTGGCTTTGACAACTTTAACATAGAGATAAAACATCTGCTCAACAAGATCATGCGTGCTTGAAAATCTCTCGTTGGATATCCATCCCCTTCCTCCATAAGCACCCCCACCTGGCCACCGGTCGCCTAGCTGAGGGCTGGCATCCCTGACCTCATAGTCTTCTTCATGGTTTGTATGCATTTGTGGATTACCTGGATGCTGCATTTTGAGCTCAATCTGTTCTACTTTGTTTTCCACTGATAAGGCTGGCTTATGGAAAACTTGGTGTTGGTGAAGTTGTTGGATAGTAGTTATAACTTCTTCTGAGTCTGAAATCACTCTGTCAGCCTCTTTTGTGGGAATGGTAGTATTAGAGTTGATGGAGAAGATATCAGTACTAGCATCAGTCAAGCTGACAGCGGCGTTATCAGTCTCTGATGTATCAGGTGTAGGTAAAGAAGTATTGGGAAGAACAGCTGTTTCGGTACTTGAAAGGCCTCTAGTTTCAGAAATAGGAAGGTTAGAAGAAGAAGAAGATGGTGGAGGTGATTTTGGTGATGGAGTTTGAGTTGGAGATGCTGGACAATCAAGGTCGTGATCAGATTCTGGGATGATATAGATTTTCAGGCCAATCTCACCTTTGAAAAATGAAAACAAGCCCTTCTTCTCCAATGGAAATCTCTGATAAGCTTCATCCCCTTTCTTTACAATATTTGAACAAGGAATTTTCAGATATCCAAGGAAGTTTCTCCCTGTGCTTTGTGTCCTTTGATGGTAAACTGATATTTGGATGGTTTGGTGATAGAAGTTTGTGGTATCTTCGAGGTTGAAAACAAGTTTTTGGTCCCAAATAGGGTTGAGATTTTTGGGAATGGTTGTGGTTCTACTAAGCTGATTGCCGAAATCAACTTCTACAAAAGGGCTGGCTGATCCTTCACCATCTTTTGGCATAAGATCATGAGCATCCACAACTTCTACTACCAGTTTCATGCTACTTTTCGGCTAGGTTTGATTCTGCAGGAAGCAACCTGCAAGTAAGTCCTTTACTGAAACTCAACTCAGAAGCAAAGAAATTCTTATCACTAAAGTCCATGGGCATAAGAAAGCTACAACATAATATATATACTCCTGTCTCTTTTTGTACAATGCTAGCTCACTCCATGACTCTCGTAGTCTCAGATGAACAGGAAAACTATATGATATCTTCAGGAGGATGATGGTGAAAGAAAAGAATGATTTGTGGAAGAAGCTGCCTGATGAACTCTGTAGATCTTTATATGAAAGCAGGAAAGGTATAAACTTCATTTTTTTTTTGGATTAAAGTAAAAGATGAGTCCATCTGACCATGTTTTTTTTTTTTTGTTAAAACATCTGACCATGTTGAGAAAGGAAAGAAGGACAAACAAAATACAGTTATGGCCTTTATTCTTTTCTTCTTGCTAAAAAGTACAAATACAAGATCTTAAAAGGGCTGTTCAATCTAAGAATAGATCGGTTCAAGCTGAATGCTTCTTGCAGAGTTCTTCATCTTTTGGTCTTTCATATAAAAAAAAACAATAATAATAACACAAAAAAAGGGAAAAAAGAGCCGGAGATGCAAAGAAGGGTCAGAATCTTAAGATTCCTCCAGTCATCGTTTTAAATTTTAACTGAGAAAAGCCTCAGCAATAGACCAGTGGAAGATTCCTCTGGACTTTTTTTTTTTTTTTTTTGGTACAAAGATTCCTCTGGACTTTAAAAGTACACAATATCCATATTGTCAGCATAATTATCACATCATCACAATATTCAAAGAAAACTTTTACTCGAAACACTAATATTCATTGTTCACGTTAACTAATATTCCCTCTGTGCAATTTTAAAAGACTCAAGAATTACCCTCTGCAGAATAGTAGATTTTAAGAAGAAAAAAAAAAAGAGAGAGAGATCTGCATGCAATTTTTAGTCTCTCTGAAGCTATAAAAGCATAAGAAAGAACTTTGCAGAAAAGGAGCAACATAATGAGACTATCGTCAGGTACTTCGTCCAACTTAATCTCCAAAGAATACTTGATGAGTTTGGGAGCCAATGTAATTTAGCATCGCCCGTCAAAAATTAGTTCAGCCTGTAGCAACGGCAGCGGCATCATTGTCAGATTCGCCCTGTTCTTCTTTAGCAAATTCCTCAATTAGTTGGCATTGCCTTCGCGTCAGATTCCTGCAAAACATTTGGGAAAAAGGAAGCAAATGTTACATGACCCGGCGAGTATTTGATAAAACATGGATAACTTCAACGTAAATGCAGCTCTATCATATCCAACTAATGCATGCAAATAATAACTTGGCTAATGACTCTAATCCAGGGATATCACAGGTGTCACAGAGCTGTAAGGCATAATCTTAAATTAGAACACCACTTTGAACCACTGAAACATACGTTGGGATTGCGACGTTGTAGTGCACGTATTGATCCCCGACTGAATAGGAATTTCTTGCCTTAATCCCTACATCAAGAAACATTGGAAAGTTGTGATTGATCTGAGAGAAGCATGTAAATGCCTAATTCAACTAGGAGGCCAAAACAAGTAGTCCACATGGAAATATCAAGTAATACTTCATCCACTCTTGTGAATATTATAAAATGGTGTTCATTAATTAATCATAATTTGACGTACGAATACATGAATGATTGCCCAAGCAAACTGCAAAGATCGAGTCCTGCCAACCATGAAAGATTTTCATACCCCAACCAAAATATAGGTGTTCGAAAGACTTAATTAATCAAAAGAGCATCACACCCCAAGCATTTTGAAAATATGCCCATAAATGAAAAGCAGATGAGTTTTGTATAGCTCAGAAGGTGTGTTCATTTCTCTACTTCATCCTTTCTGAAACTTTCAAATGACATGGGGACACATGTTCCATACGTAACATCTGCCAGAAACCAAAACACGGAAACAAAAGTAGTCCATAAATTCTTTTACCTTTTCTTCTGGGAATCAACTTTCTGACCGGGTTGTGTACCAGGACGGACCTGTCAAAATAACAGGGAGTTAAACATCATTGCACCTTAAAAAGATGCAAGCTGAAATGGGAAAAGAAAAGATCAATGAACAGAGCAAACAGATGCATAAACAAACGTACCTTTACAACCACATCCCCTGTCAAAGTTGGAACTTGAATAGTCCCTCCCAAGATAGCCTGCATATAATGGTTTTCTCCATTGTTAAACACAGGTAATTGACATCATCTGGAAAACCATACAAACGAGCTTCTACATGCTTTGGAGGTTGAAGCAAACATTCCCAAGACAATTTCAATTATCAAGGGAGTAGTTTGTGGAAACAAGCATAAAGAAGGTGGTGTCTTCAGAATCCAGGGCTGTAGACAGCTAGCAATAACAACCAACCAAGGAGGCAAAACGGTTGGTAACATTGGGAACATTAAGCAGTCCGACATGAGAACTGATTATTCCATATAAGTTATGGAGAGATGCATAATGTTATAAGTTTCAAATAAGCCATTAAGGTGTTTGTGAGAACGATGAGAGGTTAGCATTACCAGTCAAGTGGTAACCTTTAAATCTTAGTGGGTGACATGTATCAATTCAATAGCAGAATGGAGGATAGAAACATGATATCACAAAGACATGGAATCACCAGACTGATACTTAGAGCAGCATCAACATGGATATCTGAGCCTTGTCTACGAAAAACAGGATCTTCTTTAACCTAGGTAATGAGAAGAACAAAGTTGGAGGATGGATAAACCCATAAACACAAACTGGAAACTGACTGACTACGGCATGCAACCTTAATAGTGACAAAGAGATCCAGGCTGAATGCCTGCTGGATCTGCACCTCCGGCACGCTGCACCGGAATGATGTCATTGTTGTCGGTTCCTGGAAAAAGAGAAGCCAAAAATCAAGACAGCATAGTCTAGTCAAGAATGGAAGAAAACAAAACCACTCTTCACATTTGTCTGTGCCAAATATATTGGCATTTAGTCTAGAAGGATAGAAGATGAGAACACATCAGACAAGTAAGACTCAAGATCTGAACTCACATTAATTAGGGTAATTATTATACGCCACGAGTTAATCAACTAGGATGAAGAAACAGCTACTAAGGCAAAAAAGATCATCCTGGAGCTAAAGTGATTTGCATGGACTCGGGTGACCATAACCATTAAGATCATTGTGGCTGTAAATTTAGAAAGGAATAACAGAAATATATGTAAGTATAAAACTTCTTTAAAAACATACTAACCTGGCCTAATATCTAATCTGACAGATTTTGATCCTCTTACAACACATTCTCCCTTGCAGGACTTGCAGAAATCCTATCAAATCATATAAGAAAAAAATAACAATTCAAAAAGATCAAGTCCAAGTCCAATCAAATGTTGAAATACGACAGACAGCAGCACTACTAACAACAATAGAAAAACATCAAAAGTTGCCATACCGATGCCATCAGCTGAAAGAGAATTCCTAGAGAAAGGATGTTTTCTTCTCTAACAAATGTACAAAGATCAAATAGCAAGGAAAGAATAGCAGGCTCAAACAGGAACTTCACAGAACTCATTATAGAGTCAGAATTAACTGTCATATAGACACAGGACTTTCTCATAATATATCCCTTTCTTTATGAGCATAGTACAACATGACTATACATTTGGACCCCTGTAGTCTAAACTGAACAGCTTCAAGTAAATGTTCGAGTTTACAGCCTTAACAGAACATTTCTCGCATGTGTGCTAATGCCTAATGATATTGATAGTTCCAACCATACGCCTTTTCCATACCACATACTCCCCACCAATAGAATAGGAAAAAATTGTTACCCACTATTGAAAAAGGAACTTGTGATTTAGTCGTTTCATACCCATTTTACAAAACATCAAACCTAGAGATGAATGAAAAAGCTTTAGGAGTAAGGTGCACTCCGCAGATTGAGTAAATTTCAAAATAAAATGTGGAAGTCAGAATAGAAGTAACTGCACTCCGTCTTCAAGGAGGTTCCATAGACTCTTTGGGGAACCTCTGTCCAAAATATAAATTTCATCATATGTGCCTTGAATAATTTCGAATACTTATCCTGTACCTTAAAGGATAACTTTTGTACATGTGCATGTGAATAAAACAAGTTGAACAAGTACCCCAAGGACAAACAGTTATCAACTATCCAAATAGATTATCTCAAACAAAGAGACCGGCAACTCCATTAGTTTTCAAGTAAAGAAAGGATATGGAAAACAATTCTCAAGGTCTCCTAGATTACGTGAAAGAATAGTATAATACCTTCACAATCTTCCCAGTCCCTTGACATTCCATACAAGATACTAAGTAAAAGTTAGCTCCTGATGGACGACTTATCTGTACAGCAAGAAAACAAATTGAAGAATGGAAGAGATAGTACAACCCACTGACAAAATATTACATACAAGTATCAGGATAATAAGTGCATGTAATGAACCTTGCCGGAGCCTTCACAACGTTTACAGGTTTGAGGCTGAGTTCCTGGAGGAACACCGGTTCCACCTGAGAATATTAAGGAGCAAATCTACAGTCAAGTAACAAACTGTAAATCTTAGAATCAATCAAGTGCCTCAAGCTTGATTCTTGAAGTGATACACCAGACACTACCAGCAGCACAACCAAACCAAAACATGCAACAGAAACAAGCAGTTGACATACTTACCACAAGTATTACAAAACAATTCAGTCATGAACTTAAGAGTTTTGGAGCATCCCTGTACCGCTTCCATGAAAGACAGTGTAATAGATACCTGTGAAGATTAAGAAGTGAGGCATCATCCATAAACCAAGGTTTACTCCACAGCTAAAAACAACAGTAGTGGGACAAAACCTGGAGATCTTTGCCACCAGGCATTGGGATAAATCCATACTGGTCTCATTGTACAACCAAAAGGCCACATGAAGAGAGCAAACGCGATAAATCAATATACTTGTTCCGAACTGGCATAAATAAAATACAAAAACTATTGAAATTAAGGGTGACAATTTCATAATCAGAAACCAGTGGCCATATAACCTAGGAACGCGAATTGAATATTGGGGAGGGAGGGAGGGAGGTCTCTGTTGACTGGGGTGGGGGGAAGGGGATTGTTCATGTATTTGTAACAAAACAAATCGGTCTTATAGCGACAATGAAGATAGCAATACTCCTTTGGTGTACCCTCTCAGCATATTTGGTTCTTGCCATGTAACCCTATGAACATATTTGTAACTTGCATCTTGTATCCTCTAAACATATTTACATCTTGGCAAATACGAGGACTTATACCCATTAGCTACTTGGAGTATCTTGCGTCAATATAATTCACCGGCCACAATGAATCGACATACCATCAGATCAACCAAATTAAATTCATTATCTGTACTTGACTTTCTGAGAAGGTCCTCAAAGCCGCCATGTTGAGATGGCTTGAATCCAGCTCCACCATTCTGATCTCTCATTTTATAACCGGCGTGTCCATGCTGGAAAAATTCCCAACATCAGTGCCACCATTTGATACTAAGCGCAGAAGACAGAGTTCCAACCAGCATTCAAAAACATACATCAGATCTACAACCAATTTGTATTAGGCATCACCTTTAAGATTTGCAATTAGTCAGATTGGCTTAAGTTGCGAAATCATAAAAAATGATAAACTCTACTTCAACGAAAACTAGATAACTAATTTTTTTAGTAAGAATTACAAAGTGAAAAGAAACATAAAATTTTCACCATCCTGCAATAGAATGAATAATATAGCGGACTGTTCAGAACTAATTGAGTTTCAACAGATTATTTCGTTCCATGAGATGAATGTATAAGTAAAATGCTTTCCAATTGAAGTCTCAGGAGAACAGGAAACTGTAATACCTGTTCATCCTGAGCTACATATTGGTGTATAAACGATTTCAGTGGACCTCTAACATTTGCCAAGTACACAGAAAATTCTCTCATACTAACCTTAAAATCTTAGTTAGAAGTTTTATATCGTTTCAAATTTCCTTTTGTCAGTATTGCACATCAAACACAATACTGCGAATACAATAAGCATAAATCTTTTACACAGACCTATGACCTCTGAAAATTTTGTTATTAAGGCCGGTAACAAGATTATCACTCCAACAAAAACTTGCAATATCCATAGGGATCAATGATCAAAGTATTCAAGCTAGCAATGAAATGGAAAGTCCATTTTCCACAAAATGATAAATAAAATAAAATCCATGCATCAAACTGAGTTCATAAATTTCCATTTTGCAATAACAAAATATAAGATTCAACCTTGCCTTAACTACACATAAGGAAGGCGGATTATGCCTTATTGGACCTTTATTACATTTCATTTCTTCACTTACAACCTAAATTTTCTAATAAGAAATGGTACAACTAACTACGACTAGAAGCTCTTGGTGTTGCAAATCCGTGAGACACAGCAAAGCACTAGTAAATTCCTTAAAAAAGCTTAGACAGGACAGAAAAGCAAGTACACTTGAAATATTGCTATTACACAAGCCAGAAACCCGTTATTTAAGACAAAGCAATGCAGACTATTCACCACATAATTTGCATTCCCTACCAGCTGGTTCCATTATCATTACAAAAAAACAAAAATAAAAAATTAGAGCTGCAGTTTTAAATGTTTTTGATAATAACTACAACCAATTTTTTAGAGCCTTCAAACCCAGTATATTTTAGGCTTATAGCTTCAGCAATTTAAACATGCAAAAGAAAACAAATGAGAAACCTCAAGATACTCCGCGCGCGTGGTGTCATCCTTCAGAACCTACCCCAGGAAAACACAAGATGGAATTGGTCAATGACAAAGAAGGCTGAAACTCAGTTCAACAAATGCAAAAATATAGTTCCAGAAAGCCAACTTACCTCATACGCCTCTTGAACTTCTTGAAACTTTTTGGCAGCTTCAGGATCATCTTTATTGGTGTCAGGATGCAAGCTTTTTGCAAGCTGCACAAGGACACCAATCAAACTAGTATTCAGGCAGGGAAGTAATAAAAGGGAATATAAACGGTAGAAATGTTTTCCAAAGCTTGAGAGCAAATTTGATGGCCTATCAAATAAATCTTTTTTCACAAGATTAGACATGGTTACATATTAAGGAAGAAAGTTACCCCATAATAAGCTTTCTTGATTTCCGAAGATGTGGCATTTCTACTTACGCCAAGAGTATCAAAGTAATCGCTTGATTTATGCGCTAATTAGAAGAAAAAATAAACTGCAAGTCAGAAAACTTAGATATGACGCAACAACGTTAAAATGGTTAAAATGAAACGAAACATCCTGACCCCGGAAAGGAAAACAAGAAAAGGATGATGAATATTGTATATCATTAATTTTTCAGACGCTCCCAAATACTCCAGACTCAATATTTTGCTTATTTGTAACATTTTGAGCAATTTGAGGTTGGTATAATGAACCTGTCAAGTGGAACATCAAATCGGTACCTCTTATCTCTCAAACATAGTAGACCAAGCTCAATTCATAAACACAATACAAAAGCTCCCTCACTCTTATATGGTCAAACAAACCAGTGTAAATAAGTGGATCAGGGAAAAAGTATAATCTTTCTAATATAGAAAGGGATAAAGAAAAGGAAGCATATTCTGCACTCAATTACAAACCGAAGTACAACAGGCCAAGAATCTTGTAAGACTATTTTCAGAACGAACAAACTTCCAACCATTCCGGCAATTCCATAAACATGCACAATTTAAATACAGGAGACAAAATACACAGAGAGTGAAGTTACCTGTTCCATGAATGCATCGAACTCCACCAAGGTCAGCTTTAAATGATCCTAATCTCAGCTGCTCACTTCCATGATACACTACAAGCGGGAAATATTTCATTATAATGAGACACACAGAAGACTTCAATAATAACCAACCACCTCGCAAACCCAACTTATTCAACAACATTTTAGTTTGGTAGCTACCGCATTTTCGTGACTGTGCAATGATCCTCAAACTATATTTGAGGGGAACTGGCTGGGGGCGAGTGTCCCAACTAAACGCAGTAAACAATTCTGTTAAAGGCCTAAACAATGTCTTAGGATCCTATATGCTCTCAGTCTAGGTTCCATAGATTGAATCAGTAGAAAAATATTGTAAAATAGTACTACATTCTACAAGTAACATACACGTGTAGGTATTATTGATCATTCTAAAGTGCATCATTCATCAATGAGAAGAGTTTGCACATTGAAACAATCATGGATAAGACAATTAAACATGTATACTGTAAGGTTTACCACTCATAATAGATTTAGATCATTGTGCACATTTGAAAGGTAGTTTAGTCTGATTTACAATAATTGTCAAACCTACTATGGCTAAATCTCATTTAACGATTCTGCAGTGAAAATTTACAATTTTTCGATACTTGTCAAGCACATCATGGAATCATTATGTTCACTTTGTATGATGATCATAAGATTTGATGGGTCGAATTGTGTGATTCTAACAAAAGTGCCCAAACACAACAAGTTAACAAGCACAATTTTGAAAAAATACGGATCATCTTTATGTTCCTGAAAACGGCTAAAGATAAACACAACCCTGTCGCTTTCTCAATTTCTAAGTTATTCTTTTCCTTCTCACGTGCTAAATGCAAATTGTATCCGTTTCAAACCCCAAACCCCCTCGTATGAAGATTTACCTTTTCTAAAAGTGGAACCATGTAAGGCCGCATTTTGATTCCAAGGTCCCGTGCCGAAGCTTCTACATGAACCTCTCAATGACGTCCCATTTAACTGCCGTGATACCCCGAAAAAAAAAAAAAAAAAGTGAAAACAGATTGTTAGATCCTCAGAATTGTACACGCACAGTCAATCATGCAAACAGCGGCAGAGTAGAGAGAGGCCTACTGCGGCAGCGGAGTCGCGGAGGAGATGACAGGAGAGGGTTCGGAGAGCTAGTCTCAGGCCACCGGAGCGGACCATCTGGCAGGGTTATCCGGTCAAATATGTGGAATTTTTTATAAGAGGGAAAAACCAAAAACCCTAAGTCCTGACACTTAAACCCTAAAGGAGAGGAGAAAGGAAAGTGACGAATGAAAAGTAAATTGACATTGAAAAGTAAATTGACATTAATCAGAGATTCGCACGGACACACACACAACTTTCTTTTGCTTGCGGGGCAATTATAACTAATAAAGCCTCCACGTTAAAAAATGTATACTTAAAAAAAAATACAGTTAAAAAAAACTCATTCAGGTATTACCGCCGGTAAATTTAACAGGTACATCATTAAAGAATATCTTTCTTATTATATATGTACAAAGAGGCAAGAGATTGCTAAATTACCTTGGTCCAAACAAAATAGAAACTATTATCCTACTTAAAGTCTTAGAAACATTGCGCATCCTATCTAGAAAACTAGGAGAATGACAAATCTACGAGTTCACTTCTCAACCAAAATTTCCAGCATTGGTACTGGTATAATGATGTATACTTGATTAGTTTAAGGACCAATATAATTTAGCTTCGCCGTCAATAATTGGTTCAGCCTGAAGCACCGGCAGCGGCATCGTTGTCAGATTCGCCCTGTTCTTCTTTAGCAAACTCCTCAATTAGTTCGCGTTGCCTTCGTGTCAAATTCCTGCAAAACGTTTGCAAATAAGGATGCAAGTGTTACATGACCCAGCGGATATTTGATAACTTGGATAAGTTCAACGTAAATGCAGCTCTATCATCCTAATAATGCAAGAAAATAACCACAAAATGACTAATGACTCTAATTCAGGGATATCAGAGGTTCCACATAGCTGCAAGGCATAGTCTAAAATTTGGACACCAGTTTAAACCACGGAGACATACGTTGGAATTGCGACATTGAAGTGCACGTATTGATCCCCGAATGAATAGGAATTTTTCGCCTTAATCCCTGCATCAAGAAAAATTTGAAATTAGTGTTTGATCAGAGAGACACATGCAAATGCCTAAATTAACTAGAAGGCCAAAACAAGTGGTCCACATGGAAATATCAAGTAATAATTCATCCACCTTGCAGAAAGCTCTTCGTGATATAATAAAATGCTATTAATTGATTAAAATAAATTGACATTCTTGTATAAAATGAATGATTCCCCAAGCAAAATGCAAAGATTTAGTCCTGCCAACCATGAAAGAATACCATACCCCAACCAAAACATTGGTGAGCAAAAGGCATAATAAAAAGCATCACGTCCTCAGTATTTTGAAACTATGCCCATAAATTAACCGAGACATTTAAAAATACGTTTTTTGATGAGTTTGTACAGATCAGAGGCTGTTTTCATGTCTCTACTTCATCCTTTCTGAAACCCTCGAACTCTATGGGGATACATATGCTCCATAAGTAACATCACCTGATATTGCAATGCATATTGCTAGAAAGCAAAACACAAAAACAAAAAATAGTCCAGACATTCTTTTACCTTTTCTTCTGAGAACAACTTTCTGACCAGGTTGAGTACCAGGACGGACCTGTCAAGATAATAGGGAGTTAAATATAACTGTACCTAACAAGATGCAAGCTTAAATGGGAAAAGAAAAAGATCATCGAACAGAGTGAAGAGATGTAAATATACCTTGACCACGACATCCCCAGTCAAAGTTGGAACTTGAATAGTTCCTCCCAAGATAGCCTGCATAAGAACAGTTTTCTTCATATGTTAAACACAGGTAATCGACATCATATGGAAAACCATACAAACAAGCTACTACATGCTTTGGAGGTTGAAGCAAATATTCCAAAGACAATTCACCATATCGGAGTAGTAATTTGTGGAAACTAGCATAACAAAGGTGATGTCTTCAGAATCGACGGCTATAGTTAGCAAACACTACCAACCAAGGAGGCAAACCAGTGGGCAACATTAGGAAGACCGACATGAGAACTGATTATTATAAGTGAGAAGAAACCATAAATGGGGAGATTATAACGTTACAAGTTTCAAAATTAGAATGATGAGAGGTTGGCATTACCAGGCAAGTGATGACCTTTCAATCTTAGTGGGTGACATGTATCAACTCAATAGCACAATAAAGGATAGAAATGGTATCACAAAGACTCGGAATCACCTGACTGATACTTAGGGCAGCGTCAACATGGATATCTGAGCCTTGTCTACGGAAAACAGGATCTTCTTTAACCTACGTAACAAAAAGAACAAAGTTGGAGGATGAATAAACCCACAAAAAAAAAAAAACAAACGGAAAATTGATTGCCTATGGCATGCAACCTTAATAGTGACACGGAGATCCCCAGGTTGAATGCCTTCTGGATCTGCACCTCCGGCATTTGGCACCGAAAGGATGTCATCGTTGTCAATTCCTAAGAAAGAGAGAAGGCAAAAATGAAGACTGTATAGCATAGTCAAAATTAAAACAAAACAAATCACTCTTCCTATTTATCTATGCCAGATATATTGGCATTTGGTCTAAAAGGGTAGAAGATGAGAACAAATCAGACAACAAAGATTGAAGATTTTAACTCAACATTAATTTGGGTAGTTATTATTAACCATGAGTTCATCAACTTTGATGAAGAAACAGCCACCAAGGCAAAATAAAGATCGTCCTGGAGCTATTGACAACCAAAAAAAGAAACAACTTGTTCTAGCTAAGGTGACTTGCATTGAACTTTGATTATTAACCATGAGTTCATCAACTTTGATGAAGAAACAGCCACCAAAGCAAAAAAAGATCGTCCTGGAGCTATTGACAACCAAAACAAGAAACAACTTGTTCTAGCTAAGGTGACTTTCATTGACGAAGGTGACTAGAGCCATTAAGATCATTATGGCTGGAAATTACAAAGCAACAACAGAAACATATACAAGTATAAAACTTAATTTTAAATAAACTCACCAGGCATAATATCCAATCTCACAGATTTCGATCCTCTTACAACACGCTCCCCCTTGCAGGACTTGCAGAAATCCTATCAAATCATATAATAAAGGGAAAAAACAACATTTCAAAAAATCAAGTCCAAGTCTGATCAAATTTTGAATACGACTAACAAGAATAAAAATATTACAAGTTGCCATTATAGTGCTATCAGCTGAAAGAGAACCTTTTTTCAATTACAATTTACAAATGTACAAAAATCAAGTAACAAAGAAAGAATAGCAGCTCAAACAGAAACTTCACAAAACTCCTTATATTACCTGTCATATAGACACAGTACATTCTTATGATAAAGCCTTTCTTCATGAGCATAGTATATTATGACTATACATTAGGACCCCAGTAGTCGAAACTGAACAGCTTCACGTAAATTTTCGAGTTTACAGTCTTACAGTACATTCATTACGTGTGTACTAATGATATTGATCGTTCTAACAATAAGCCTTGCATACCACATACTTCCCACCAACATAATATAAGGAAAGAAAATTGTTACCCACCATTGAAACAGGCACTAGTGAATTAGTAGTTTCACACCCATTTTACAAAACATCAAACGTAGCGATGAATGAAAAAGCTTTAGGAGTAAGTTGCACTCCACAGATTGTGTAAATTTCGAAATAAAATATGAAAGTCAGAACAGGAACCATGGAGGCACGGAACAAGTAACTGCACACTGGTTTTCTTGTGTCTTAAAGGAGGTTCCATAGACTTCTTGGGGAACCTGTGTCTCAAAATATACAAAATTCATCTTCGAATACTTTTCCTGTACCTTAAATGATAACTTCTGAATATGTGCATGTCAATATAATAACTTTAATGAGTATCCAGGGAAAAAAAGTTAACTAATCCAAACGGAATATCTCAAACAAAGATAATGGCAACTCAATTAGTTTTCAAGAAAATAAAGGATTTCAAAAACGCCACATTCCGTCAGAAGAGAAGTATAATACCTTCACAATCTTTCCAGTCCCTTGACATTCCATACAAGATACCGAGCCAAACACAAATCCTGATGAGTAATTTATCTGTACAGCATGAAAACAAGTTGATGAATGGAAGAGATAGTACAATCCGCTGACCAAAGGATAATATACACGCATAGGTTAATAAGTGCATGTAATGAACCTTGCCAGCGCCTTTACAACGTCTACAGGTTTGAGGCTGAGTTCCTGGAGGAACGCCGGTTCCACCTGAGAACATTAAGGAGCAATTCTACAGTTAAATAACAAACTAAAAACCTTAGAATCAATCAAGCGGCTCAAGCTTGATTCTTGAACTGATACGCCAGACACTACCAGCAGCACAACCATACCAAAACATGCAACAGAAACCAGAACAGTTGACATACTCACCACAAGTATTACAAGGCAATTCAGTCATGAACTTCAGAGTTTTGGAGCATCCCTGTACAGCTTCCATGAAGGACAGTGTAATAGATTCCTGCGAAGATTAAGAAGTGAGGCATCATCCAGAAACCAATGTTTATTCCAAAGCTAAAAACAACAGTAGCAGACCAAACCTGCACATCTCTGCCACCAGCCATTCTCATTCGATGCATAAAATCCATCTGGAGTCATTGTACAACCCAACCGCCACATGAAAAGAGCAAACACGTTAAATCAAAATACTTGAACTGAACTGGAACATAATACCAAAACTATTGAATTTAAGGCCGAAAACGTCATGATCAGTAACCAGTGGGCTTATAACCTAGGAACAGGAATTTAATAGAGGAGGAGACTGTTTCAAGTACAGGTAACGAAACAAATCAATCTTATAGTGACTATGAAGATAGCAGTACTCATTCGGTGTACCAACTCAGCACATTGTGTTCTTGCATGTGCAATCTTCTCAACATATATGCAACTTGCATCTTGTATCCTCTAAACATTTTTACATCTTGACAAAGACGAGGACTTATACCAATCAGCTACTTTAAGTATCTTGTGTGAATATGATTCACAATGAATTGACAAAGACAAATACTTTCCAAAATTAAAAGGGAAAGTACCATCAGATCAACCAAACTAAATTCATAACCTGTACTTACATTTTTGAAAAAGTCCTCAAAGCCACCACCTTGAAATGGGTTGTATCCAGCACCACCGTTCTGATCTCTCATTTTGTAACCATCGTGTCCAAGCTGGGAAAAATCACAACATCAGTGCCACAATTTGATCCAAAGCCCAGAGGACAAACAGTTCCAACCAGCATTCAAAAACATAAACCAGATCTACAACCAATTTGGATTAGAAGAATACATATTCAGGCATCACCTTAAAATTTGCAATTAGTCACATTGTCTTAAAGTTGCCAAATCATAAAAAGTGATACAATCTACTTCAAAGAAAAACTAGATAACTAATTTTCCTAATAAGAATTACAAAGTGAAAAGAATTAAAAAAAGTTTCACCATCCCACAATCGAATGAAGAATACAGCAGACTGCTCAGAACTAATTATGTTTCAACAAATTATTTAGTTCCATGAGATGAATGTACAAGTAAAATGCTTTCCGATAGAAGTCTAAGGAGAACAGGAAATTATGATACCCATTCATCCTGAGCTACATATTGGTGTATAAATGATTTCAACAACCTGTAACATTTGCGAAGCACATAGATGGCATATCTTCACTAATACAACCTAAATATTCTCCTAAAAGATGGTATAACTAACTAAAATATTTTATGTCCAAGAGACACAACAAAGAAATGAGCACTAGTAAATTCCTTAAAGAAGCTTAGATAGGACAGAAAAGCAAGTACGGTTAAGATACTGACATAAGACATGCCAGAAGCCCATTATTTACGAGAAAGCAATGGAATTCCAAGGAAGAAATATACGGACTATTCGTCACACCAGCCGCTCCATTACATTACAAAAAAACTTCAAGATGCGATTTTCAGTGTTTCTGATAATAACTACACATTCGTTTCACCAATTTTTTAGAGCCACATTCTATTTTAGGCTTATAGCTTCAATAATTCAAACATGTAAAAGATAATAAATGAGAAACCTCAAGATACTCCGCGCGCTTCGTATCATCCTTCAGAACCTACCACAAGAAAACACAAGATGGAATTGATCAATGACAAAGAATGCAGAACTTCAGCAAATGCAAAATTATAGTCCCAAAAAGCAAACCTACCTCATACGCCTCTTGTACTTCTTGAAACTTTTTTGCAGCTTCAGGATCATCTTTATTGGTGTCAGGATGCAAGCTTTTTGCAAGCTGCAAGGGAAGACCAATCAAACAAGTCTTCAGGCAAGGAAGTAATAGAAGGGAATATAAACAGTAGAAATGTTTTGCAAAGGTAGAGAACAAATTTGAATGATCTGTCAAATAAATCTTTTTCACCAGATTAGACATAATTAAATATTAAGGAAGAAACTTACCCCATAATAAGCTTTCTTGATTTCCGAAGATGTGGCATTTCTACTTACGCCAAGAACATCAAAGTAATCCCTTGATCTGTGTGCTAATTACAAGAAAAAAAAAACTGCAGGTGAGAAAACTTATCCAACACCAGCAACTCATCTTTCCCATGGTAAACAACTGTTAAAACATGAAACGAAACAAGCAAACCCCGGAAAAGAAAACAAGAAAGGGATCATGAATTGCATATCATTAATTTTTAGGACGCTATCAAATACTTCATACTCAATATTTTGCTTATCTGAAATATTACTGCGCTATTTTAGTTTAGTATAAGGAACCTATCAAGCGGAACATCAAACGACACCTCTTAACTCTCAAAAGTAGTAGACCAAGCTCAATTCAAACAAACAATCCAAAAGCCCCCTAACTTATTTGGTCACATAGTTCCAATTTCAACCAGTGTAAATAGATGGATCAGGAAAAATTATAATCTTGCCAAATAGAAAGAGGTAAAGAAATGTAAGCATACCCTGCACTCAATTTCAAACGGAAGTAGAAGAGGCCAAAATATAGTAAGACAATTTTCGGAACGAACAAACTTCCAACCATTCTGGAAAGTCCATAAACATGCACAATGTTAAATAAAGGAGATAAATACACAGAGAAAGTTACCTGTTCCATGAATTGATCGAAGTCCACCAAGGTCAACTTTAAATGATCCTAATCTCAGCTGCTCACTTCCATGATAAACTACAAGCGGGAAACATTTCATCATAACAAGACACACAGAGATTTCAATAATAACCAACCACCTCCCAAACCCAAGTTATTCAAAAAATTTTAATTTGCTAACTACAGCATTTTCATGACTTTGAAATTATCCTCAAACTAAATTTGAGGAATGTCCCAACTAAATGAAGTAAACAATTCTGCTAAACGCCTAAAAAATGTCTTAAGATCCTATATACTCTCAATCTAGGGTCTGATAAAGAATCAATAGAAAGGAATTGTAAAATAGTACTACATTCTACAAGTATCATATATGTGCAGGTTTTAGTAATCATCCTAAAGTGCACCATTCACCAATGAACAGAGTTCCTACATTGAAACATTCACGGATTACGCATTTAAAATTTCTACTGTAAGGGTCACTGCTCTTTATAGCTTTATATCATTCTGCTCATTTAAAAGTTAGTTTAGTCTAATTTACAATAATTGTCAAAAGCTACTATGGCCAAATCACAATTGACCATTCTATAATGATAAATTCACAATTTTTCCAGATATCAAACAGCTTTGTAATCGTTATGGTCACTGCGTATGATTCTAAGATTTGATAGGCGAAATTGAGATTCTAATAAACAAGACCCCAAACACAATGAATTAAAAAGCACAATTGCAATGATAAGGAACATGTTTATGTTCTTCAAAACGGAGAAAGATAAACACAAGCCATTTGCTTTCTTCACTCAATTTCTGAGTTAATTTCTATTTTTCTTTTTTTCACATGCTAAATGCAAATTATATCCCTTTCAAATTCCAAGCCCCCTTCGAATGAAAATATTACCTTTTCTAAAAGTGGAACCATGAAAGGCTGCACTCTGATTCCAAGGCCCCGTGCCGAAGCTTCTACAAGCACCTCTCAATGACGTCCCATTTAGCTGGCACAATCCCCCCAACCAAAAAAAAAAAAAAAATCGAGACAGAAAAGTTAGAAATCCTCAAAAATTGCAGACACACATTCAATCATAAAAACAACGGAAGAGAATAGAGAGGCCTACCGCGGCAGCGGAGTCGCGGAGGAGATGAGAGGAGAGGGTGCGGAGAGCGAGACGGTGGGCGAGTCTGAGGCCACTGGAGCGGACCATTTGGCGGGTTATCGGGTCGAATATGTGGAATATCTGAAGGGGGAAAGCCAAAAACCCTCAATTGTGAGGACTGGCGATTCGCTTAAACCCTAGAGGAGAGAAAAGTGACGAATGAAACAATATTGGCATTAGTCAGAAAACACACGCACACAAACAGAGAGTACCAGAGAAGAAGGTCCAGAACTTTCTTTTGCTTGCCGGGTAATTAACGAATTAAGCTGGAAGGTTAAAATTAAAACATCTTAGAAAATACAGTTAAAAAAAAAAGCCACATTTACGGCATATCAGGTAAAAATTAAAAGGGGCTACCACCACTAACAAAACTTTAATATCGAAGAAATAGTGTGCACGATAAATATATGGTTGAAATTGTGATTTTGTGGATTTTAACATATTTTTGTTTTTTATCTATAAATATTTGTAAAATAAAATTTAGGCTAAAAATTGTATGAAAAATATTAGGACATACTCAAATTGTGGAATCAGTGTTGATGATATTTTTTCCAATAAGTGCAGTGCATTTTGCGTTGCTAACGAGTGAGTAATCTCATACAAAACAAAAACAAAAAAAAACAAAACAAAAAATCTTCTCTACTTTTTTTCATCGATCTTTTCTCTTATATTGCTGGATTGAAGTTACAAGTATAAATTAAAGAGTACAGTAATTATCTGATTTCTCAACAATAAAATTAGTGGTGATGTTTTTCTTGTGTTGTGTGGTTTGGATAATTTATGGCTGGCTTTGTTTCCATATTTGTGGCTAGGGCTTTAAGAATGTGGTTTTATTTATTTATATACCTTCTTTTTCAACTAGTTTTTACAATATATACATATATAGATAATATGTATATATAACACAATTTAAATACTACTCTCTCTGTCCCAAAATTATTTTTCCAGTTTGAGATTTCACTTTTAGTACAATTTGAACTAGAAATGAAAATTCAAACTGGACAATAATTATGGGACGGAGGGAGTACCATTTTATGCACCTTCTCCCTAGAAGAATAAAGTTTAATAAAATAATTTACTTTTCTATGACAGAAGAAATATATTTCACTTTATTAATTTTATATATTGTTATATAAACTTATCAAATAAAAAGACCGTATGTGTCTATATATATACACACGTGACCATCTCTTAATTTATTTATATGATGTAGTATATTTATAAAACTTACATTGTAGAAATAGGGAGTCTGAGGTCAATCGACCCCAGAAAACACGTCCCACAGTACATATTTTGTTTTGGATGTTAACATCGTGTAGCTAGAGACGGATGTAGACAGTAACTGTTGAAGTGTTTGTTGTTTCATTCATGAAACATTTTTTTTCCTCTTAAACTAAGGGTGTGTTGAGTGTACTAGGAAGGGAAAGGAAGAATGGGAATTTCATTACTAGTAAAAAAAAAAGTTAGTTTAGTAGAAGAATTATAAATTCCTTTTAGGCTCTATTTCGTTGGATTGAATTGGACCCAAGAATTAGAATTGGAGGCCCTCAATTCTAATTATTGTGTTTGGATGAAAAAATAGGGGTTCCGAAATTAGAATTATAATTCAAGATGAGGCTCAATTCTTTATTTTTAATTCTTTATGGGAGCAAATAATTACAATTCGAAATCTAGGGGCTTTAGAAAAAATGCGGGTCACATACGGGTCGTTTCTCAGATTATAACGAAACGGGTCCTTTTAAGTTTGAGGGTTTTTTTTCTTTTTTTTGCAGCGCTGCACATGCGCTGTTTTTCCTTTTTCTTTTTCGTTTTTTTCCCCTTTTTCTTTTAGTGCTGGGCTTTTTTTTTTCCTTTTTTTTGCATTTTGTTAAATTAACATGTGTTTTTATTTATGGTGCAAACGAGATGTACATCATATTAATAATTATTAATGAGATCTTTATATTAAAATTAGTATTCTTTTAACAAAAACTAGCAAATGTATAACGACACCCGTAATTTATTTTAAAAATGGATGGTATTAATTACGGGTTAACATTTTTTTATCAAATGTATTTTGAACTATACTTGAAATTTTTTTCACTAAAAATTATATAAGCTTTCAAGAAGTCAAAATATATATTATTCCATTTGTAATTATATACTAGAAATAAAAAATAATTAATTAGCACCATGTATTAATGTTAATCTATACATAAATGAATGGTCTTTACTTTCAACTATATAAAAATTTTACACTAAAATCCAAAAAAAAAAAAAAACTAAAGATTAAAAATTTATAAAATAATAAAAAGGAGAGGAACAAGAATGTTCTACATGTTACTTGTGAGAATTCCAATCATCACACTCATACTTACGTAATAATAAAAAAAGGTTTTCCACAAGTATATATGTATCTATAAATTATAAAATTGATATATATTACTCAAACAACAAAAGTTCTAATATAAATGTATATGATAAATTTATTTTTGTTATCTTATATATGTAAGTAATAAATTGCTTTGATATATAAAATTAAGTATTTATTTTATTCAATGAAATAAAGTACTAAACTACTGATATAAATTATACACTGACTTTTTCAGTATTTTCCACAACAACCTTTAACATGGACCCGTTTATTTTAAATCATTATAATAAATAAATCCACAACAACCTATAACATATTGATAAGATTCAGTATTTTCCTTTTCTATTCTAATTTGTTAATTTCATCTCTTTTTTACATAATTCCAAATATTCAGAATTCATTTGGCAAGGTGTTGCCTTTGTCTTAATCATTGTTTTTTCATCAAAATCATATTCATATGGAAAGACTAATTACATGCCTTTTCCTATCCCAAAAAGCATTAGGATGTTCATTACAAATCTCAGTAGAGATATTATTATATATCCTCTTAATTTTTTCCTGTAATTTAGGATTTTTTAAATCTTCTTCAATTGAAAATATATTAATTTCAAATTTTAAGAAATTAATCGGATTATTTTTTCTAAAAATAAGATCTTTAAGTTCATTGATGAATCTTGTAAAGGTTCAGTTATAAACTTAAAATATACAAGTTTTTTATCGTATGTTCCTGTGATACTATCAATATCAATGTGAGTGATAGGGAAAATCCTCTTTATAAAAGGAGTTCCAAGTATAACTTGGCTAGTTATATTTTTAGCTATTAAAAAACTTTCAGGAATAAAAACTTGATTATTACAAATATATCCTTTAGACAATTTATAATTTATGTCTAATGCTTTTCCACCAGCATGTCTTACCACATGAGTAGTTTTTTCAAAATATTTAGTGGGAATTATTCCTTCCTGTATAACACTAACATCCGCACCACTATCAATTAGTGCTATTAATTCTATTTGATAATCATGATCTATTAATAATTTAATAATAACACGAAATTTAAAAGAAGTGATTAAATCTAAAGATCCTAGAAAATTCTCATTTACCGTTTTATAACTGAACCTAATACATGATTCATCAATGAACTTAAAGATCTTATTTTTAGAAAAAATAATCAAATTAATTTCTTAAAATTTGAAATTAATATATTTTCAATTGAAGAGATTTAAAAAATCCTAAATTACAGGAAAAAATTAAGAAGATATATAATAATATCTCTACTGAGATTTGTAATGAACATCCTAATGCTTTTTGGGATAGGAAAAAGCATGTAATTAGTCTTCCATATGAAGATGATTTTGATGAAAAAACAATGATTAAGACAAAGGCAAGACCTTACCAAATGAATTCTGAATATTTGGAATTATGTAAAAAAGAGATGAATATGTTATTAGAAAAATGATTGATTAAAAAGTCAAATTCTCCATGGTCATGTACTGGTTTTTATATCAATAAACATAGTGAAATAGAAAGAGGAAGACCAAGGTTAGTAATAAATTATAAACCTCTTAATAAAGTATTAAAATGGATTAGACACCCAATCCCAAATAAAAAGGATTTATTGGATAGATTATATGATGCATTAATATTTTCTAAGTTTGATTTAAAATCTGGGTATTGGCAAATTCGAATTGATGAGTCAGATCAATATAAAACAGCTTTTAATGTTCCAGTAGGTCATTTTGAATGGAAAGTGATGCCATTTGGATTAAAGAATGCACCTTCTGAATTTCAAAAAATCATGAATGATATTTTTATTCCTTATAGTGAATTTATCATTGTATATATTGATGATATATTAATATTTTCTAAGGATATACAATCACATTTTGATCATTTAAATATATTTCAGAAATTAATAAACATTTGTATAGTTATTCTGTTCTATTATCTTATTCATCTGTTTTACATTTATAACAAATTATATTAGCTCTATCAGATGTTTGGAATAAAGTCTACTCATGGCTTTGATACCACTACTAAGGAGAGGGACATAGACTAATTCAGGAAATCTTAAACCAAATAGGGAAGATTACAGAATAATTAAGTCCGTCAACATGATTAATTATAAGTAAACTGGGATCAACGCCCTTAACACGCCTTTCACATGGCTTTAAACAAGGCTAACCCTACTTATAAATATCATAGCCAGTCTTAATCACTCCTACACGTGCCAAAAATTTCACTTAATTAGTAAATTACCCTTCCTTCATCAGGAACATAGCTATGATAATCCTTGTAATAACATCATCTTATCTCAACTACCAGACTTATTAGCCTATCATTATGAATATAAACGAATAAGAAGAAAGAAGAAATACTTACAGGAATCAAGGGAGCTGAGCTCTTTTTATTCCAAACTTCTTAAAACTTTGAAAATATTTTACACTGAGAAGAGAAAGGAAGAGATTTCTGAAATCGGTGCCTCTACAATTAAACTATCAATCTCTATTTATAGGCCCCGGATTTCAAAAACTATAAATTCTATTTTACAAATAGATTTGAAATCCGTTCACTTATTGTGAATGTCTTTCTCAGATATGAGTCAAGTGGGGTCCATATGCCTTAATATTCAAAAGGAGATTCCTGCTTTTGTCTTTTCACAGCTTTTCTTTTCCTTTTCCTTATTGTGTTGTCT